GCAGGAGATTTGTCCATCCACGCTGTTTTGGATGGCTGGAGGAATCGGTTATATTTTTTTCATTCAGCCTGCTGGTTAAACAAGAAAATATAACAGTGTAATGCCCAATGTCCTAGCATGCACATATTGGCAGAGAACAAATCACTAATACCTTGGCATAGGTCATGTGATCAGAGAGGGGGGAAATGATTAGTAAAAACAAACATAATAGGAAATTAGGAAATATTTGACATCCTTATCACTCTTTGAGGCTCCGTTCACGCAACGTGTTTTGATTTCAGAGTGTTTTTCCGCAGATCGCGCGGAACAAAAACACACACATTTTAACATATACGCGGTTTCCGCACATTTGTGGCTACTGCTATAACCGGAACACGCAGAAGTCACTCAGAATATCGCATTTGTACTTTTTTTGTGCAGCGCGCATGACACGCAGGTGTGAACAGGGTAAATTAAAATGTATGGTTTTTTTGGCTCTGCGTAGGTGTGAACGGAGCCTAAAGTGGCACAAGCGTTTATGGAATGTAAAGCCATGTATACAGGCTTCGAATTTCGGCCGGTTCTTGATGAGGTGGCCAAAATTGGATGCGTAGGTGCCGCTGTCCGCACCTTTACGCCCTGCATCCCTCGATCAGCTGATCAAAAGAGCAGGTCGGAAAATTGTCGGCCGAAAACAGCTAGCAGCCAATGAGCTGCCAAATCTGTCCGGGCATTCTGACAGTAGCTGGCGGCCTCTATCAGAATACAAAGGAAACAGCCGTATGTTCCTTGATCAACGCCCTTTAGCATTGATGGAGGAACCTGTTCTGTTTTCTTCGTTCAGCATGCAGGTTGAACGAAGAAAATAGAAGCATGTATACCCAGTTTTATATATGGTAAGGATACGAGATTCTGAAAAGGTGCTCTCTAGCAGATGTGTGCAATGGGTCTGCCATTTTTTTATAAAATTCCCATCTCATCTGATCATACTTTTGCAGCTCAATGTGTAGATAATGTGGTGCAGTTTAAAACAATGAAAGTCTCTGCGTGCAAAAGCGCCCCTCTTACCTCGCCCCTAGGCTCACTAAATTAACTGCACACGACATACAGCCTCACAAGTCTAACTGTAAGAAAAGATTAATTCCCATTTAGAAGGTCCAAGCCTTCTTGTTCCTCCGTGTTATATTGCTAATTTTTCTTAACGATCTCCAGCAAACGCTTCTTTAACCAACATTTTTTTTTTTTTTCCTTAGGCAGCCAATGTAAAAAAAAATATGGGAAGATCTTCTTATATAACGTATTTGTGCTATTCGTATTTTGGCATTCAGTCATTACAAAAAAATAAATAATCTATCAAACATAATTTACACATGACACACACAAACATTGAAAAGTGCCTGGTTGTATGTATACTACAGACCGGTATTACTCCATATAAATCTTCTAAGTGGGACTGGACCTTTCATTTCGGACATGTAGCTTACAATGACCGCTAGAGTATCTCAGTGGGGTTTAGAATTGGCCCTCCAGCAACGGATATGCATTTACGATTTCAGCTGGGTTTAAAATATGACCGGAAGGCCAAATCTAAAAAGCCACTGTATTTATCATTGCTTTTGTTACAAATAGGAACACATATTGGCTTATTTGATAACACAGAGCATTGTGCAGCAAAAGCATCGGAAAGAAACATGTTTGGTGTTAGTCATAGCAACCGATGAGACGAATCCTGGAAACTGGATTCTATGGGTAACAGAGCCTCATGTATAACACCACCTGTAAAGTGCCTGAAAGCAAAATGTATGTGCTGCAAAAATCAACCAATCCGATTCCAAATGTCTTTTTTTTCAGAATAAATTCTGATAACACTGACATTTTGGTTCATGGCCAACTACACCCAAAACAAACTAAGTTGGTCTGAGCACTGGGCTTGAATTAACCGTCATCTCCTTATATCTCTAATAGCCTAGTGTGGCAAGACTTCCTCCCAGTAGTTGGTCTCAAAAGCTCTCACACACCTATAGACATCATGGGAAGACCAACATCATCCTTGGTCTTTGCACAGGTCTTAGCAGTTGGGTGGAAGTGAGACTTCTGCAGGAGATAGCTCACCATGGACTCCATAAAAGGACTAGTGAGGTAAAAAGTGATTCAACTTTCTAACCGCTCCAAACTCAAATATCAGTTTTGGATAAAGTTGGCCTTTGGGGGACTTGTATACAAGAGGCTCAGTGTGCAAAGAGAAGTGATGCATTGTGCCAAGGGTTGCTGCATATTCATGCTCCTATGGTGCCGACACATTTTTCAAAATTTTAACATAAAGGGGTGAGGAAACTTAAAGTACAAGTAAAAGTTCCTGTATGACGGTCTAAAATCTACCAAATCTAATTACAATGTGATCCACAGGTTTTATAAAGTAACCAAAAAACATCCTTTACTTTCCCTTGACAGCCAAATCCTCCTTCATTTGTGTCTACGATCTCCCCTCCCAGACACTGTAGCTCGCAGTGGGAGGGTTTCAGCAGCAGAGGCAGTGCTGTCATCCAGAAAGCAGTGGACAGGTCTAGGTATGGCCAGGTGCGGATTGACAAGCTACAGGCCTATGAATCAGCAGTGACAATGCTGATAGCCATGCCCTCTGCGACAACTTTTCATCACACTGTATTGCAAGCAGGCAAAGCCTACATGAGAGTGTCAACTCTGCTCTGGATTCAGGAGCAGTGTGGCATTGTTGCCACACCATTACAGGAGGCTGCATGAGGTGAATTTCATTGGCAGGCTCAGCAGGAATTCATGAGACTTTGCGGGGAATAAGATAAAACTGTAAGTGCAGTAGCACATTTTATTAGTAGAAGACCATAGTTCTAATTTAACAAGTAGTAAATAAATGTAAATCACCGGCACACACTTGAAGGGTTTTTAAAGTATTGATATGTTTATTCAATAGCCAATGTCACATACTGTCATACGGTGCTGGTGTTTTACTTTTATTTACTATTAGTGTTTTGCACGGCGCCATCCGTGTGGTCACCTGAGCACCACATATACCTTGTGGTTTTGAGACCGTGGCAGTGCAAATGGGATTTGGACTTTGTTCTAATTTAACATATGTCTATGCATCTCCATTTTTTTCAATCAATTGTTTAAATTACATTTAAAAAGATGCGGTCAGGTAGCCTGGAATATGGATTTTTCACTTATTTTTATGCAATTTCAGCGTTTTAATATTTGAATTCCAATTTAAACTTTTAAAACCCATTTTTTATTATGATAATGCACTCAGACTGCATAAACAATAATACATCCGGGTGTCTTTTTATTGGAATACTTGGCTGCAACTAGGGTTAAAAAGTTATAACTGAATCAGTTTATTGGAAATTCATCAGTGACACTGATTCTTGCCTGAGGTCCACCCCCATAGGGTTAAAAAGCTTAAATGACTGTATGCCTAAATTTGAGAAAATTTGGGACCCATGGGTCACTCATTTTCTCCCTCCATCATTTGACCGACAGCTCATGACCCTTTGACACTATCTCTTGCCAAAACACAGTCCTCGATCCTTGACCCACATGTGTTGGGCTATTGTTAGCGCTCCTCCCTCCCCTCTTTCTTGGTTTTCCTTTCTCCCACTGTCTCTTCCCTCTTCTCTTATTATTTCTAAACATACCTAGAGATCCTTGGGATCTCTTAGTTTACTCAGGTTCTTTTGACGTCCACCTAAAGATGCCATATGTGAATCTCTATACACCTACCCACTAGTTTCTTCGGTGGCCGTCTCGAGATTGTTAGCTCCGTTTTATGCAACAACTTCATTGTGTGCGCATAAGCTATTAATGTATGTATGTATGAACATTTATGTTTGATGTTACGTTTCTTTTGGAAAATTGTTAAAAACCAATAAAATACTTTGAAAAGTAAAAAAAAAAAAAAAGCTCTGTGCTGGCAGAACGCTGGCAATCTGGACCGATGCCCCACTCAAAACATAGCAGTCCTAGTCTCCGGTTGTCTGTCGCACTCTGCACAGTGTTCAAATCAACAGCGCTCACACTTCCTGAACGGCAATGTTGATTGGAGCACTATGGAGTGGGTCCTTGAACTGCTGTAGACTTGGACCGGTCATACCACTGTGCTCTATGCTAAGCAGTGATTCAAATCTCCATCATGCTGGCAGCACAAGGCATGCTGCAATAAAATAATACAGTAAAAAGATAAAAATTACACCCACAGTTATTACTGTTTATGCAGCTCGACTGCATTACAGTGATAAAAAAAACAAAGCTTCACTTGGGCTATAAGCTGTCTACAGATATTGGATAACAGTGGCCTGATCTACCCTCACCTCATGCAGCACATTTTCAACAGCCTACCTCTTCTCGGGCAGGAACATTGATTGGACTCAATTTATCTCAATCACTACTGTTCCCATTTAAGACACGTGGCACCAGCTGTGTCTACCTGCACCAGTCTCCTAGTTCCCACAGGAATAAAATCACTCGGCTGAGCCCAGCATTCCTCCCTTCAGTGTCAGAAGGAGGTTGGATCTATGTCGTATCCTGGCTACACACATGGCAATTTTCAGGCAAATTCAATTAGCTTTTGTATACTAAAATGACCAAATGCAACCCAAGACCAACAGGTCTGCTGACACCAACAAATGAACTAAATCAGGGGTAGCCATAGCCAAATTGCAGCCCTCCAGCTGTGGTGAAATTACCAATCCCATGAGACATTGCAAGACTCTGATAGGCATGATTTTCAGAGGCAGACACAAGATGGGATGTGTGGTTTTATCACAGCTGGAGGGACCCCTGATCTAATGTGTTGGCGGTAGGTTTCCTCGGTTCTTTTACTTTTTTGCATCTGAAAGCTGTTGAAATTGCTGTGTGGCCAGCATGAGAGCACAAAACAGTCCAAAATTCAGTTGCAACGACAACTAGAAAATGCATGTGTGGCACCATAGAGTAAAAAAACTCCTAAATCTGGAGCAACCTTGTCAATGAAAACAAAAATGCGTGCTGCGTTAGCCCCGTGTTATGAAATAAAGGCTCTATACTGAATCACTCTGAACACCACATAACCTGAGTAGAATGACAGTTTACAACATTAGCTCTTATTTTGAAATTCTAAATAGATATTGCACAGTAGCGCTTTGACTTTATAAATACATTGAACTCCATTTATGAAATGGATTGATCATGTTAATGCCATGTCCAAATGTTATCGAGCACATTACTTCCCCCAGCGGATCATAATCCTACTGATTTTTCTTTTTTTAGAATTTACTTCAAACGAACACTCCACCTGGCAAGTGAACACCAACCACTCTCGGCTTTATGCAGATATATATATAATCAAACGTCACTCGGCGATCTGGCTCTCTGAGAGACGCTGGCGGGGATGCATCCGCAGCAAATCAGCCACAGGGCTTTCTGGATTTCCTGGTTCCGGAAGGCGTAGATGACTGGGTTGATGACGGAGTTGTACGTGGCCGGCAGAAGCGTGGCATAAGTGTAGATGGAAGGGTAGGTGTAATCTGCTATTAAAGAATAAAGGGTGAAAGGCATCCAGCAGGCGGCGAACGTCCCGAGTATGATGGCCAAAGTGGACACTCCTTTCCGGGTGGTGACGTAGTGCGACGTGGCCAGGAAATGGTGCTGTAAGGCAATCTGATGAGCGTGCCTCATGACGATTTTGCAGATCTGAATGTACAGCTGAAGCATGAGTGCAAACATGAGCAGAAAGGAAACTGAAAGGGCGGCGGCATTGTTTTTGGTCAGTGGCCGGATGACGCTACACGTCGACTCGTCCTTAAGGCAATTCCAACCCATGATAGGCAAAAGTCCGATGCACGTCGACGCTCCCCACAGGAAAATAAGCATGACGTAGGTGAAGGTGACTGTTCTTTCCGAGTTGTACGTCAAAGCGTAGTAAAGAGACAAGTAACGGTCGACGGTGATCGCCAGCAAGCTGCACACCGAGGCACAAAAAGAGGCAGCAATCAGTCCCACTGTGACCAGCTTGGCAGCCTCCGACTGAAGGAGATAGGCAAAGATGAAATTGATAATGAGTCCGACCCCTGCCAAGAGGTCTGCCAGCGCCAAGCTGCCGATGAGGAGGAACATAGGAGCTCGCAGGCTCGGATTGTGGAAGATGATGAGGACCACTATAGCATTTTCGCATGAGATCAGGGTTCCCGATATACACAGAACAATATCCCACGGGTTTACTATGAGCTCTGGCTCCAGCACAGGAATTAGGGAGGAGTCTGCCGCTGAGATATTCTCCGGAGGACTGGCATCTATATGATCCTGAGGCAACCAGCTTATATTAACCTTCGTATCTTCATTCATTTTAACCTTCTTCAACCGGAAAAAAAAGACAAGGCTTTATTACACCATCCTAAGGGCAGCGGAGAATCGTAGCATGCAACAATTCACAAGGATGCCAAACTTGACAATAATTACAGAAATCTGCAACATAAAGAGAACGCTGCAAAAAAAAAATGGAATGCATGAATGGAGGAACATTGATGAATCAGTGACGGCGACATAAAAGGCACACAACGTAAAGCGCATAATATTGCTAACACCAAAATCATTCCATTGACCAGACTAGGCACAAGCATAGGGGATTCATAAGTCCCTGTGCATGAGGGAGGGGGGAGGTGGCAGCACGGTACAATGAAATATTCACAATGTAGTCACCTTGAGATCTTGTCGCCTGAGCCCTGGCCGATGATGTCTTATGGTCCTGAGATGGTACAGGTTGCCTGTTCGCCCTGCATCCTTTCGTCCTGCAGGGCTGGGGATGGACACCTCGGGGTTTCCTGCAGGCGGGGGGCTGCAGGTGGAACTACAATGGGGGTCGGGCTGTCAGTTGAGACTGCTCGCCGGCCGCACATAGCGGGGATCGCGGCTGCTGGCTGCCTTCAAGAGGCAGAAAAGGAGAGAAGCGCGGGCGCGGGGACCCTGCGCGCCCTCGGTGCGCGGCCTCGCCAGTGTCGCGTTCGCGTGGGTCCACCGCAGTGTACTAAGAAGGCCAATTGCTGGAGCGGCTATGACAGAATTTAGGCATCGCCACACAGAGCCATTAAACATATCGGTCACACTTGTTTGGTTATCTGGCCCTAGGCATGGTTATGTGGCGGCTCTAGAAGATAGTGGATTATTTTGTGTACACAGCTATGGTTATTATAACTCAGTTGTTTTGGGGGAGCACTCAATGTTAGGGTACCAGAGGTATATATTTCCACATTATTTTCACTTTTTACATTAATTATAGATATATTGCTGTTTTTTTTTAAATGCCTCCCTTGTGTTAAAAAAAAATAATGCAATGGTACCAAACAGCTTAGACCTTGGCAACCTTTGAACTCCAGCTGTTGTGGAACTGCAAGTTCCATAATGGCCTGCAAGGCTAACAGACCTAGGCAGGGCCATTCTTATGATGAGGCAACCTGAGACTGTTACCTCAGGCGACATCTTTATGGGTTACGTGAGGGGTGGCAGGCAGAGCGGCATGGCCATGTACCTGCCATCCTTTTTCCGGCCAGGACGTCCTAGGTTGCTAAGAGTCGGGCAAACCTGGGGCGCTCTGGCTGGAGTCCCACAAAGCTCCTACCAACCAGTGATGTCACTGCTTGCCAGGAGCTGAACCTAGCAACAAATGGCGTTATGTGGCCAAGCTTCATTGATGCTAAAAAAAAAATCAGCTTTTGGACCACCAAAGTCCCACTCATTGGTTGCTAAGACGTTGGCAGTCTCGGGGCCACCAAAGTCCTACCCGGTTAGTGTGTACAACCAGCGACCCCCCGCCGCTTCTCAAGGCAGCGGAAACGCTTTTGATACCCCTGGCCCCAGGCATGACACCCAGCTGCAGAGGGATGATGGGATTTTAAGTTCTCCCACAGCTGAGGTCGTCTACCCCTTTCTTAGTCTGGTCGTAAAATCTTTCCAACGCTCTACTTTGTGTTGGAGCTGCCATGAAGACATTGGGCCAGCGCTCCATATTTTTAGGTCTCTAAACGTACAACCTTTTGGTCCACCGTAACTCAGATTATTCACAACTTAACAAGATTGTCCCTACAGGACGACTCACTATTGCTACTATTATTTCTCAATCCGTTATGCTTGCCTGTCTGCCTGCCCACACTGATGATCTTCACTGCCTGGAAGAGATACGATTGCAGCAACATTTCTGTATCTGACACTTTCGGGTGTGATGGGTGCCTGGTCACAATTCATAAAATGGCGGTGAATGCAACAAATGAAACATGTACATAAGTTTGTCGCAAAGCCTGCCATGTGCATAGGTCTCAAGGACACTGTGCGAAAAAGCATCATTGGTTGCTAAGACTTGGCAGTCTCGGGGCCACCAAAGTCCTAGCAACCATTGATGTTCTGTGGCTGAGAATCATTGGTTGCCAAGACGTCAGCCTTGGGGCCACCAGAGCCATCACCTCATCATGCTAGCCATCACCTAGAAGCCAATGATCCTGTGTGGCCAAGTGTTGTTGGTTGCTAAGACATCAGCCTTTGGGCTGCCAGAAACCTAGCAACCAATGGCGTTGATGACAATCTTTTAAAGAGTGCCTTCCCCACCATATGACAAATGTCAGTAAATGCAATAAATTCATGTACATGTCAGATACATTATGCATGAGTTTATCACAAAGCCTGCCTTGAGATTATGTCTCAACGAGTCCCAGCAACCATTGACATTCTGTGGCTGAGAATCATTGGTTGCTAAGACATCAGTCTTGGGGCCACCAGAGGCCTATCAAACAATCATGCTGTGCAGCCAAGCGTCATTGGTTGCAAAGACATCGGCCTTTGGCCCACCATAGTCCTAGCAACCAAATACATTGACTATAATCTTTAAAAGAGTGTCTGCCCCACCATATGACAAACGTCAGTAAATGCAACAAATGAATGTACACATCAGATAGATTATACATGAGTTTGTCCCAAAGCCTGCTTGTGTTTAGGTCTCAGGGACGTTCTTTAGCTGAGAATCATTGGTTGCTAAGACGTTGGCAGTCTCTGGGCCACCAGAGACCTAGCAACCAATGACATTTTGTCAGTGAGAATCATTGGTTGCTAAGATGTCAGCCTTGGGGCAGCCAGAGAACTAGCAACCAATGAGGCTGTGTGCCCAAGCATTATTGGTTGCTAAGACATCAGCCTTTGGGCCACCTGAGTCCTAGCAACCAATGACGTTCTGTGGCTGAGAATCATTGGTTGCTATGAGGTCAGACTTTGGGCCACCAGAGTCCTGGTGGTACAAACGACTTCTGTCTATTAAGATGCTGGTTTTGTGAAGATTAACAGTATACAATGTAGAGCAGCATTCCTCAACCACTTTTAAGTCATGACACCGTTTAAAAGTATGCAAAGTGTCAAGACACCCCAGATTTAAATGTAAAAAACATACATGTCAAAAATGACATGTGACCCCTCAAAAATCCATACCAGACCCTTATCCTGGATAAGGGTCTGGTATGGATTTTAAGGGGGGACCAAAAAATTTGGTTACCTCTTCATATTAGGCCCACCCCCATTAGGAGCCCCTGACACATCAGAGCCCCCTTTTCATTAGAATCCAACTTTCACATCAGAGTCCCCCTTTACATTAGAATCCCGCTTTCACATCAGAGTCCCCCTTTACATTAAGAGCCTCCATCATATCAGGAGCGCCCTCCTTTCACATCAGAGTCCCCCTATCACACTAGTAGCCCCCCTTCACATCAGAAACCCCCCACTTTAATCATTAAGAGCCCTCCAGATCAGAAGCCCTCTTCACATCCAGAGCCCTTTCATATCAGAGCCCCCCTTTTTCATATCAGAGTTCCCCCTTTAACAGGAGCCTATACCATGGAAAGGCATGATGCTGTGTGAACATTCTGAGGCACCCTGGTTGGGAAAGGCTGATGTAGAGCACAGCATTCAGAGTGGATGAGTGTGGAGTATATAACATGCTGCACGGTGTACAGAATGGGAGAGTCTGAGGTATGTTAGATACAGAACAATATATGGAGAGGTCACCTTCCCAATATATCTAGCATGCACATCCATCACAATTCATTCCCACCTCAGAGCGCCCATTAGTGGATCAGTAGGCTGATCTGCACATCCTGGCCAACAACCTTCATTTTCCCAGGTTTCGTTTCTGACAGGAAGCTACGGCCACTTCATGCACCCAAAAGATCCAATGGCAACATGATCATTCTATAGAACGATTATGGTATCTACAGCCATAATAGTGTCTGCCGAAATTCTAAACCTTCCTGACTCTATCCAACAGAAAAAAAAAATGTTTTGCCTGGCATTGGGCTTAAACTAATCTCAAGAGTCTGTGCTTTTTGTAAAACCTACTGTATTTTATTTGTCATTATATATAAAAAAAAAACACTTCTTGACAAGTCTTCAGAAACAGCAACAGGGAACATTAGCAGATACAAAAGTTTATCTTGGAATGTTCATTAACGCTGAATTCTCATTAGTAAAGAAACAAATACAACAATAACACTGTGTCACCTATCAACGCAGAGTGTTACAGCACTAAAGGCAACGTGAAACTGTAATTGTTTATTGTGGATCTGACTACTTTCTACCACTGCACGTCAAAGAGCAACAACATACTGATATAAGGGGTTCACTTTGTTTTCTTGAAATATACTTACATTCTTCTGTTATCTAAATAATATGGATAAGGATCCGCAGTACATTAAAGTTTCCACATTAAGAAATCAGTGTAATTCATTTCAGCTTGAAGAACAATGTCCTTCCCTAAGGCCCTCCTCACACTAGCCCTTTCTGTAACCCTCACACTAACTCTCTATGTAACCTTCACACGTATCCTTCTTGTAACCCTAACACTAATCCTCAAACTGTAACACTTACCTTTCCTGTAACCTTAACACAAGCCCTCTCTATAACCCTTACACTAATCCTCACTCTTACCCTGTAACTGCCTGTAACTATAGCACTAACCCTACTTGCAACCCTGGTACCAACCCTTCCTGTAACCCTAACATTATTCTTCGCACTATGTTTTGCTTTACCCTTAACACTTATTCTCACACTAACCCTTCCTGTAACCCTAAAACTAATCCTCACACTATCTCTCCATGTAACTGTAGCGCTAACCTTACTTACAACCTCTATACCAAACCTTCCTGTAACACTTATCCTCACACTAACCCTCCTAGTAACTAACACTGTGACAATAATAGGGCCTGGTGAGCCCCAAACTGAGTAAGGTGATTTATTTCTCCACAATTTGCAAGTCAGTGACAAAACAATCTGATTTAAAATCTAATGTGTGTATTGGACAACCAGAGTCAGAGAGACACATCTCAAATAACCCATACCAGAAAAAAAAATTCTGCTCGTGCACGCCCCCTAGCAGGCAAGCAGAACACACTGACAGTTCTAAACAGCTGGTAACGGCTGTTACATACAAGCGTTCAGGTGGCTCTATAGCTGTCCGATCACTTGTACGGTGGCCAACAGTGTGTGCACTACCCCCCTCTTTCAACACCTCCCCCCTCCACCACCGTTACTGGCTATCCTGGGCTCCACTATCCCCTCTGCGGGCCCGGCTTGCTGGCTCTCTGCACTAAGATCGGAGGTAGATCAGCACTCTTCCATGTACTGATCCCCCTCCCCCCGACCTCTGAATGCGGAAGTGGTGTGTATTAAATCACATCCGCATTCAGCCTGTCATTTCTCTGGCTGCTATAGCCAGAAATAAAACCCCCAATGGTGATTAAATACCACCAAAGGAAAGCTCTATCTGTCCCCAAAAAATATATAAAATTATTTTAAGTACAGTGTTGCGTGACAAAATAAATGTCAATCAAAGTACCGCATTGCTGAATACTGAAAAATGGCCTGGACAGAAAGGGGGTTTAACACCCCTATCTTCAAATGGTTAACTACCAAAACCAAAATTTATACTATTTTTATAACTATGGCTATAATGAAGACAGCTTTAAAAAATGTTTACACTGATGTATCAGAGAA